ACCCACCTCAGCCTCCCAAAGTACTGGGATTACAGGCATGAGCCAACTGTGCCCAGTTTATTAAGCGTTTCTAATGGACTGTGATGAGTATTGTAAGTTATAGCTGTTTCTAATGGTTGGCTATGTTGAAGTAACACAGTTCAACTCTTCTGGTATTTTGAAAATGTAAGATACATAAGAAAAGTGGCTTTCTTCATGGTAAGAACTATTGAAACCTTAGAATTTTTTAAAAACGTGTTTAAGGGCCAGACATAGTGGCTCAAGCCTGTAATCCCATAATCCCAGCACTTTGGAAAGCCGAGATAGCAGGATCTCTGGAGCCCAAGAGTTTGAGACCAACCTGGCAACATAAGAAGATCCCACTTCTACAAAAATTTAAAAATTAGCTGGGCGTGGTGGCACATGCCTTTAGTCCCAGCTACTTGGGAAGCTGAAGTGGGAAGATCACTTGAGCTCACAAGATGGTGGTATCTCTCCACACTGCACTTCAGCCTGGGCAACAGAGCCAGACTTTGTCTCAAAAAAAAGGAGAAAAAAAACCTGTTCAGGAGTTTGGTGCAATTAAAGATGCCCAGGGGAATGTCTTTGCTGCCCTGATGTTATAAAGCTCACACTGAATATGTCAGAATCAGCATTTTGTATCACCATCCCCAAATCCTTGATTTTGCAGTTGGATGTGACTAGGAAGTTTGTCACACACAACTGCATGTGTGTTTTGTGCTTGTTACTGCCTTCTTTTCAGTGTTCTAAAGCTAACATGTATTTTTATTTATGTGCATGTAATTTCTTTTCCCTTTTTCCCCCAGTTGTGAAAGATTTTCAAGACTATATGGAACCTGAAGAAGGTTGTCAAGGTTCACCACAGAGGAGAGGACCTCTGACCTCAGGCTCCGATGAAGAAAATGTTGCCCTGCCTCTGGGTGACAATGTGCTGACTCATAACCTGGGGATCCCGGTGTTGGTGGTATGCACAAAGGTGCGTGCTAGGGGGTTGTTGGCTTGGCTGGGTTCGGGTAGTGAACAGTCACCATCTGCAAGAAAGTTTGAGAAACTATTGAGATTTTTTTCCCAAGGGAGAGTTGGGCTTATTTGGGATTCGTTAAGGTACATTGAATATGTCAAGACAGAAAAAATTATCATGTAAATTGAAAATTTAAATGCAGGAAACATGACTAGTCAGTTTACTCATGGCCTAGGGTTAATGTCTCTGAAGCACTGTTGACTTTCAAACTTAGAACTCACAGCAGTTGGCCAGTTGCAGTGGCTCACACCTGTAATCTCAGCACTTTGGGAGGCCGAGGGGGCGGATCACGAGGTCAGGAGATGGAGACCATCCTGGCTAACAGTGAAACCCCATCTCTACTAAAAATATAAAAAATTAGCCAGGCATGGTGGTGGGCGCCTGTAGTCCCAGCTACTTGGGAGGCTGAGGCAGGAGAATGGTGTGAACACAGGAGGCGGAGCTTGCAGTGAGCCGAGATCACGCCACCGCACTCCAGCCTGGGTGATAGAGCAACACTCCGTCTCAAAAAAAATAAATTAAAAAAAAAAGAACTCACAGCAGTTTTCTTAAGTCTGTTTAAATCAGTTGATGTGGTCCAAACTGATGGTGGAAAAATAGAATGATGAGGTAGGAATAGAAATTAAGTTCAGTCATGCCAGGCATGGTGGCTCACGTAATCCCAGCACTTTGGAAGGCTCAGGTGGGTGGATCATTTGAGGTCAGGCGTTCAAGACTAGTCTGGCCAACATGGTGAAACTCTGTCTCTACTAAAATACAAAAATTAGCCGGGCTTGGTGGCAGGCGCCTGTAAATCCCAGCTACTCGGGCTGAGGCAGGAGAATTGCTTGAGCTGGGAGGCTGAGGTTACAGTGAGCTGAGGTGGCGCCACTGCACTCCATCCTGGGCGACAGAGTGAGACTATGTCTCAAAAAAAACAAAAAGAAAAAAAAAAAAAACTAAGTTCAGTCATAGAGAAATAAAGTTGTATCTCTTATATGAGGAAAAACAATAGGTTTTAAAACTTTTTTTTTTTTGAGATGGAGTTTCGCTCTTGTTGCCCAGGCAGAGTGCAGTGGTGCCATCTCGGCTCACTGCAACTTCTGCCTTCCCAGTTCAAGTGATTCTCCTGCTTCAGCCTCCTGAGTAGCTGGGATTACGGGTGCCTGCCACCACGCCCGGCTAATTTTGTATTTTTATTAGAGATGGGGGTTTCTCCATGTTGGTCAGGCTGGTCTCAAACTCCCAACCTCAGGTGATCTGCCTGCCTTGACCTCCCAGAGTGCTGGAATTACAAGCATAAGCCACCACGCCTGGCCACATTTGGGGTTTTAAAAGTACTTTATTTCCAGTCAGAGCCATCATGTTACCCAATTATAGTGTGCCATTCTCATCCTGTTCTTGAGAATGGCCCTGTGGAGTGGAGTGCACAACTGTGTGCACTGGGCCTGTCTCCTGATGGGAACTTGTTTGATGTTTAGAATAAACTATTAGGTGATCAGGCCTATTACATCTTCACTCTACGGATAAAAAAAAAACTGAGGCCCAAGATGAACAAGAAAAATCTCCAGTTCTTTTTTACTCTTCTCTAATTAATGCTTGGACCCTGAGCTATGGCTTTCTTCTTTGGAGCCCCAGTACTTTATTTCTGAAGAATGCGGTGTTCCCATCATCAGCAGGCAATGAGGCAAAAAGGTGACTCTGTCTGTCTTCCCTGCAGTGTGATGCGGTGAGTGTCTTGGAAAAGGAGCACGATTACAGGGATGAGCATTTGGACTTTATCCAGTCACACCTGCGGAGGTTCTGCCTTCAGTGTATCCTTTGGGCGCTGTGTGGGGCCTGGGTCACAGGCTTTCTTCCAAATGGGGCATCTTCAAAGAGATAAAGCACCTCCCGAACTCAAAATAGTGTTCTGCCAGAGAGCTTTGTATGTATCTTTTTAGTAGGTTTATGTTTTACTGTGTTGGAGTTTTAGGTTTATTAACTTGTGTCTACCTTTGATCATGCGTTTGTTTGTTTGTTTGTTTGTTTTAAGACAGTGTTTCACCACTTTGGCCAGGCTAGTCTCAAATTCCTGACCTCAAGTGATCCACCCACCTCAGTCTCCCAAAGTGCTGGGATTATAGCTGTTAGCCACTGCGCTTGGCGTATTTTTAAATTGTTTTTCTAAGACGAAGTCTGCGCTGTCACCCAGGCTGGAGTGCAGTGGTGCAATCTTAGCTCTCTGCATCGTTGTGCTCCTGGGTTCAAGCAATCCTCCTGCCTCAGCCTCTTGAGTACCTGGGACTGCAGTTGTGCACCACCACATCCAGATTTTTTGTTTGTTTTGAGACAGAGCTTCACTCTTGTCATCCAAGCTGGAGTGCAATGGCATGATCTCAGCTCACTGCAACCTCCATCTCCTAGGTTCAAGTGATTCTCCTGCCTCAGCCTCCCGAGTAGCTGGGATTACAGGTATGAGCCACCACACCTGACTAATTTTTGTACTTTTAGTAGAGATGGGGTTTCACCATGTTGGCCAGGCTAGTCTTGAACTCCTGACTTCATGTGATCCACCCACCTCGGCTGCCTCAAAATGCTGGGATTACAGGCTTGAGCCACCACGCCCGGCCATCTGGATAATTTTTGTATTTTTAGTAGAGATAGGGTTTTAGCATGTTGGCCAGGCTGTTCTCGAATTCCTGACCTCAAGTGATCTGCCCGCCTCGGCCTCCCAAAGTGCTGGGATTACAGGCGTGAGCCACCACCTCCGCCCACTTTTATTAATGCTGTGCATTTGATAAGCCTTCGTATTAAGAATTTAATGTGATCATTTTATCATCAAATTACTTTTATCATACTGTCTTAGAAATATTTTTTTGTTTTGAGACGGAGTCTTGCTCTGTCACCCAGGCTGGAGTGCAGTGGCACAATCTCGGCTCACTGCAAGCTCCGCCTCCTGGGTTCACGCTATTCTCCTGCCTCAGCCTCCCGAGTAGCTGGGACTACAGGTGCCTGCCACCATGCCTGGCTAATTTTTTTTTAATTTTTAGTAGGGACGGGGTTTCACTGTGTTAGCCAGGATGGTCTCGATCTCCTGACCTCGTGATCTGCCCGTCTCGGCCTCCCAGAGTGTTGGGATTACAGGCGTGAGCCACCGCGCCCGGCAGAAATATTTTTAAACTTTGCTTTTATGTAGAAAAGGTCAATTACCAAACAGGGTATTGTTTTATAGGCCACTGGTGTTTCCCATATGTTTGTGTTTCGTGCTGTGCATGATAGAGAGGTGGTAGTGTCTGTAGTCTTTTGAGTCCTGTTACTGTAAAAGGCCAATAGCAGCTGGTGCCATGGTTCCACACCCTGGGGTGGAGGTGAGAGATGAGTTCCTGCCACCTTTTTTGGGATGGCCCATTAGCCTTTTGGCACCCATCCCTCAAAAAATGGGGTTAGTGATAAATTTGGTCACATGTAAGCATCTGCCTGGGAAGGAATCTGTGTACCTTGATATTCTGAGAGTGTTTTCCTGGGCTAACCACAGAGCCAGTACTTGACTTCTCAGAGAGTAATTTGTGGGATCAAGACAACAATTTACATGTTAAAAAATAAACTGCACAGCCCACTAGCATCAACATAGCTTTATGCTTTTGACTTGGTTCATCTGCTACTATGACCTTTTTACTTATTTATTTATTATTTTTTACCAGTTTGCAATATGCATATGTAATACTATAAGCGTTTTAGTTTTTAAAATTGTAACGCTTTCTGTTACTCATGTATTGGTTAAAAACTGATCAACCTATGAGTAGTACTTTGAGGTTATATGTGTTTGATTTTGTCTCCTCCTGCAGTGAATTGATTTTTCTTAAGCAGATTGATTAGATGGAGCTGCCTTGATTTACACATCAGTGAAAGAAGAGAAAAACCTCGACTTGTTGTATAAGTATATTGTTCATAAAACATACGGTTTCCACTTCACCACACCTGCCTTAGTTGTGGAAAAGGATGCCGTTTTTATGTGAGTTATTTTGAGATGATGCTTTGAAACTCTTCTTTTTACAGTACATTTGCTTTTTACATTTTACCCCTTCAAGGAAGGTGCCTTCTGTCTGTGTCTTCTATAGCCAGCTCTCTCACTGCACCTTCTCTCTCTGCTCCTTTCCGAATTATGAGGCATTTGCCTGAGGGAAGTGGGTGGTGTGGTCAGGGGTGCTGCCTTTCTTCATCAAGAGCAAGTTGCCAAAACCTAAGCTAGCGATTTTTGGCACTCACTGTCAACTCTGGTAAAATACTGGCTGGGGAGGGAATATAGGGAATTGTGCTTGGGGGATCCTGAATGTCTTCTGTTAAAACGCCTGCTTTATCTGTGTGTTGGCAGGGATGATTGCAAACATCCTCTCAGCATCTCTGTCAGCATGGGCTTTGGCTATACTAAGTGCTTACTGTGTTTCTGGCATTTCACATTTTGGGAGCCACTGGAGTTGATTGTCCTCGATAGAGACTTGGATACCTGTTTTCCCAACCTGGTGTCTTTCTCTCACTGGAGAATCATAGTGTTGCTGGATGCATAAATGTGAAGCTGTGGTCTCTGACAGGAATTGTGTTAGCAGATTGATGTTCAGGCTTCAGTATCCTCCTGACTTAAAAAACAATTACATTATTCATTCAGGAAACCTTACTCAGCACCCACTAGGTGCTCAGGTTCTCTGCAAGGGACACAGAAATGAATGATACGTGTTCCTCGCACATGGCACTGTAGAGGGGACACACACAGCTGAAGAAGGGAAGGGCAGTGATGGGGTTATGGAGGAAGTATGGCAGGGAAGGTGGGAGGGTGATGCTGGAAGACAAGTGGTGGATCCCACGCGGACTGGAAAGAATTGCAATAGGGGAAGCCGGCGAGTGCAGTCTGTGAGAGGCTGGAAATGCGAAAGCCAGGAGCTGTCAGGGAACTGGGTTGCCTCCTGCATAGTCAAGGAGAGTGTCACTCAGGCTAATCATAGATGGCATACCTACAGGCTTGGGCTGATTTTAGAGACTTGTTCAGAGCAGTCAGGCAGGTGCCAAAGGCACAAGCCCAGTGAGAGGTGTGTTTTTGGAATCACTTGGTATCCAAATCACATGTCATCCCTAGGAGCAAGGAGACCGGTTGATTTTGGGGCTGGTCTGGAATGAAGAAGCATCTCTGAGCTTACAAAGGCTGCATGGCCCACGGCAGTATCTCAGTCATGCCCTATCCCTTTGCACATTTGGTCCTGTTGGTTACTTCTCTGTTGACTGGCAAAATCAGCAAGGATATTGGGGTGGAGCACCCTGGCTAAGTACCCTCTTGATTATAGAGCTATGGAGTAGAAGTCAGATGGAGAATGAAAGGCCTGTGAGAACAATCAGTCAGTTGCCACCTTTCAGAGCTGCTTGAGTTCAAAAGTGTGTCATACAGGACATTTTACCATTGCTACCTTTAAGGGATTCAGGTGGGAACCCTAGGCTGTGGCTTCACATAATGGAACTTGGGTGCCATCCTACCTGTGATGTTGAGCTGTCCAGCACTGGTGTAGGAACCTCAAGGACCGTGCTCCTCTGGTTTGGGGCCTAGGACAAACATAGGCCCTGCATGCCACTTGGTTCTAGGACACATTTTCCCATGCAAGCAAAGTTAATGAACCAGTCCACAAGATAACCGTTGCAAGAATTCTTAGAGAAACAACCTGCAGGAGGGGAGCCATGACAGAGCCCAAGAAAACCATCCCATCCCGAGCTCTGCCTTCTGTGCTGCTCTCACACAGTGGGGTCTGAACAGGACCCCACTGTGTCCTTGCTCTTCTAGGTGGAGTTGTGGGAGAGTGCTAAATGCTTTGAGTGGGGCAGCCTGTGGAGTCAGATCTCGTACTGGCTCCTTAGACCTTGGGCCGGTGAACTCCGTGTGGAGCAGGACCTGCAATGTTGTTCTGATGATTATATCCACAGTGTATTTTGGCACATCTGCCAAAAGCTACAAACAGCCCCCAATAACTACATACTGTATCTTATGGGAAGGGTCCTACCGAGGAGTCCTGAATGTGATCTGAGTATGCTCTAAGGCAACCCCAGAAAAAGCAATTCAGTCCCTCTCTCTTTGCCTTTAGACCTGCAGGCTGGGACAATGAAAAGAAAATAGCTATTTTACATGAAAATTTTACAACCGTGAAGCCAGAAGATGCATATGAAGACTTTATTGTGAAACCTCCCGTGAGAAAGGTAGTCAAAGACAATTGCTTTAAGGGCTTAGGGCTGGGCATGGTGGCTCACACCTGTAATCCCAGCACTTTAGGAGGCCAAGGCGGGCAGATCACATGAGGTCAGGAGTTTGAGACAGCCTGGCCAACATGGCGAAACCCTGTCTCCACCAAAAATACAAAAATTAGCCAGGTATGGTGGCAGGCGCCTGTAATCCCAGCTACTTGGGAGGCTGAGGCATGAGAATCGCTTGAACCTGGGAGGCAGAGGTTGCAGTGAGCCCAGATTGCACCACTGCACTCCAACCCTGGCAACAGAGCGAGACTCCATATCAAAAAAAAAAAAAGAAAAAGGGTTTAGGTGTTTTTTAATGCAAAAAGAAACCTATAAAGATGGGGCGTGGTGGCTCATTCCTGTAATACCAGCAGTTTGGGAGGCTGAGGCAGGAGAATTGCTTGAACCCTGGAGGCGGAGGTTGCAGTGAGCCGAAATCATGCCACTGTACTCCATTGTGGGCGACAAGAGCGAGACTCTGTCTCAAAAACAAAACAAAACAAAAAACTATAAAGAAACAGGTCTTACACATTGTGTAGTTTGTAGGGGTTGGTGGGGAGTAGTAAGTCCCAGGGCCTTTTGTTGATTTTTTTTTTTTTTTTGAGACGGAGTCTCGCTCTGTCACCCAGGCTGGAGTGCAGTGGCCAGATCTCAGCTCACTGCAAGCTCCGCCTCCTGGGTTTACCCCATTCTTCTGCCTCAGCCTCCCAAGTAACTGGGACTACAGGCGCTCGCCACCTCGCCTGGCTAGTTTTTTTTTTTTGTATTTTTTAGTAGAGACGGGGTTTCACCGTGTTAGCCAGGATGGTCTCGATCTCCTGACCTCATGATCCACCCGTCTCGGCCTCCCAAAGTGCTGGGATTACAGGCTTGAGCCACTGCGCCCGCCCGGCCTTGTTGATCTTTAAATGAGGTCTGGTGTTATGTAAATGGCTCGGGGCTGGTGGGCAGGAGTGATGGAATGCCCACCTGGAGTTGGTGGTGTTTCCCATTAAGTCCTGCCAGTGCTGCTGTTGCCTCTGGATTGCTGTTATTGGATCCCCTCATGTGATGTCCTGCAGACCCTGAGGTGTTTAGAACCCGCCAGACTTAAAAACGCCAGTTGGCTACATGCCACAGCTGGTTTTGGGAGAGGTCTGTGCCAGGCTAGAAAAATGTTACTCTGCAGTCTCAGCAGGGATCCCCTAGACCTGTGTCAAAGCCTGAGCCTCAGACTCTCCTTTCGGCATGAAGTTTGACAGTGGTTGGGAGTATTCTTGGCCTGTGGCCACACATGTGTATGTTTCTTCACAGCTGGTCCACGACAAAGAGTTGGCAGCAGAAGATGAGCAGGTGTTCCTAATGAAGCAACAGGTAAGAAGACCAGTGAGGTTAGAACAGAGGCCTTCTCATATATGAAATGCCAGTTCCTAGGGTGGGATTGGAGGTGTCTGCATGTGGGGATTCACAAAGAGCTTGCAGTGGTAGAGGGGTTGGGACCAGGTCTCATTCCCTCCTATTTCTAGGATTAGTTGGGGATGGACCACTTTCCTTAGCAGATCACCTGCCTGCCTTGCAGACTCCTACAGGAATAGTAGGATTCGTGTCTTTTAAGTGCTTTCTTTGGAAACGCGGTTTTCTGGCATAATACTTCCTATGTTGACAGTTTACCAAGTAACCTGACTACACTTCCATTATTTCTTTCTTTTTATTTATTTACTTTTAATTTAAGTTCTAGGGTACATGTGCACAATGTGCAGGTTTGTTTAAGTTCTAGGGTACATGTGCACAACGTGCAGGTTTGTATACGTATACATGTGCCATATTGGTGTGCTGCACCCATCCATTATTTCATGTAGCCTCACACAGCCCTGTACATAAAGGCAGGTGATGCCCATTTTGCAGGTGAGGAGAGTAACTTCCCCGAGCCGACGGTTTAGAATGCAAACTTCACATTTCTCTAACCCAGATTATTGTTAGATTTGTCCTGGGTCCACCTATCATCTGCCCAGTGGTATAGGCAGGTCAGCAGGAGGTTTTGATGGTTCTTTTTCCAACTGTTTCCTTCTTTTTCCAACCTTTTCCTTTCTGTCCCTTGCTTGCTTCCTGAGCTTCAAAACTGGTTACTTGGAGTATTTTTTTTCACCATGCACCAAACTGCTCAATTAAAATTTTTTGCATTTGTAGTATAAAACCTAGGACTTAGTTGTTGTTAATAGTGCCCTCTAGTGGAGTACTTGTAGTAAGTTTTTCTCTAGGCCTTGGTTAATGGCCAGTTTGTCCCTCTCTTTGCAGTCACTCCTTGCCAAGCAGCCAGCCACGCCCACGAGAGCTTCTGTGAGTACCTTACACTAAACAGAGGGTCAAGGCCCAGTGTTGCAGGTGTCGTCAAACTTTATACCATTATTTGTGAGAGCTTATATTTGTGTGGGTTTTGTGTTTTCAGTGGGAATTTGGTTTCCCTAAAGACCCGTGACCAGAAACATAAAAGAAACTCAAGATGTTTCTGGTGAAAGAATGCAACTCTGGGAATTAGGGTGAGCTGGCTTTGTTATCTGGATGTCTTTCAGGAGAAACAGATCCAGAAAGGGCTTGAGTTGAGGGCATACTGCCAGTCCTGTACCATAGCCTATGAAAAATATCCTGCAGAAGCATGTCTCCATTTGTGGCATATGTATTTTTTGTTATTGTTATGCCTGTGTGTGACCTTAGCTGCTTTTGAACTTAGGAATCTCCTGCAAGAGGACCCTCTGGCTCTCCAAGGACTCAGGGTCGGGGAGGGCCAGCCAGTGTGCCTAGCTCCTCCCCAGGCACGTCAGTAAAAAAGCCGGACCCAAACATCAAAAGTATGTATTCCTCAAAAGTATGTCTCTTTGGAGAGTAGTTTAGTTTCAGACCTGAGCCCTGCAGGGGCTGTGTGGCTGAGTCTATAAGGTGGAGACTCATGGAAGCCAGGCTATTCTCTTTCTCATTAAGGGCTACTTTCCATTTCCCCCATTCCAGAGGAAGAAGGTCTGTGGTAGACAGAGACCAGGGCCTGTTCCTTTGTTGGAATTGGTAGCCCATGCACCTGGCTCTGGGTGAGACCTCACTTAGGCCCTGCACATTCCTTCAGAGAGGAATGCAAAATAATAACTTTATTTTATTTTTTTAGAGACAGGGTCTCAGTCTGTCACCTATCCTGTGGCACAGTCATGTGATCATAGCGCACTGCAGCCTCAAACTCCTGGGCTCAAGCAATCCTCCCACGTCAACTCCTGAGTAGCTGGGACTACAGGCGTGTGCCACCATGCCCAGCTAATTTTTTAAACTTTTATTGTAGGCCAGATGCAGTGCCTCATGCCTATAATCCTAGTACTTTGGGAGGCCAAGGTGGGAGGACTGCTTGAGCTCAAGAGTTGGAGACCAGCCTGGGCCAAATAGTGAGACCTCGCCTCTACAGAAAATTTCAAAATTAGCTGGGCATGATTGTGCTTGCCTCTAGTCCCAGCTACTCAAGTGGATGAAGCGGCAGGATTGCTTGAGCCCAGGGCATTGAGGCTGCAGTGAGCTGTGATTATGCCACCGCACTCCAGCCAGGGTGACAGAGTGAGACTCTTTATTTTATTTTTTTTTGAGACGGAGTCTCGCTCTGCCGCCCAGGCTGGAGTACAGTGGCCGGATCTCAGCTTACTGCAAGCTCCACCTCCCAGGTTTACGCCATTCTCCTGCCTCAGCCTCCCGAGTAGCTGGGAATACAGGCACCTGCCACCTCGCCCGGCTAGTTTTTTGTATTTTTAGTAGAGATGGGGTTTCACCGTGTTAGCCAGGATGGTCTCGATTTCCTGACCTCGTGATACGCCCGTCTCGGCCTCCCAAAGTGCTGGGATTACAGGCTTGAGCCACCGCGCCCGGCCGAGACTCCTTAAAAAAAAAAAAAAAGGTCGGGTGTGGTGACTCACGCCTGTAATCCTGTAATCTCAGCACTTTGGGAGGCTGAAGTGGGCAGATCACTTGAGGTCAGGAGTTTGAGACCAGCCTGGCCAACATGGTGAAACCTTCTCTCTACTAAAAATACACAAAGGAGCCAGGTGTGATGGTGGGTAGCTGCAATCCTAGCTACCTGGGAGGTAGAGGCAGGAGAATGGCTTGAACCCGGGAGGGTGAGGTTACAGTGAGCCAAGATTGTGCCACTGCACTCCAGCCTGGGCAACAGAGCAAGACTCCATCTCAACAAAACACAAAAGAATTTTTTGTAAAGGTGGGGGTCTCACTGATATTGCCGAGGCTGGTCTCAAGCTCCTAGCCTCAAGTAGTCCTACCCGCTTGGTCTCCCCAAATGATGGGATTACAGGCGTGAGCCACCACGCCTGGCTGAGGGAGTCACTTTAAAGTGTGTATTTTGAATCCTTAGCCTTGTTTCTCATGTTTATATTATTACTATTTATGAATTGTGGGGATTTTTTTCCTCCTTCACTTCTCTTGTCAAGCTCAACTACTTTTCAGATTAAGTAGCTTTTATCCCAGTAACTTAGTGATACTCAGAGATACTGCCTGCAATGAAACCATTAAAAAACAGTTTTATTTAATGCTTGCATGTTTGATGGGTGTGTTCTATTCAGGATGTGAGCTTTTCACAGCAGGTTTGGAATGTTAAGTGCTCATGCGCCTTTGAAAAACACTGTCTCATGGACGGGGAGGTGGAGTGGAGCACAGGTTATCTATTTTGCCCCCAAACAAGTGGGAAATATAAACATGGTTCCACTTAGTAATCATGCTAAGTAGCCTCAGCGGTAGCAGTGTAAAGGCATCGGTAGCAGTGTAAAGGCATCGTAGCAAATGAATGTTATCAATATCCTAGGAAGCTGATAGCCACAAATGGCTAATGCCA